CTATACTTATCAGTATCTTGGACTAAAATCATTAATTATTCAAATCAATGTTTTTTATTGTCAGCAACTACAACTTAAAAGTGTAAGTAAAGCACGATAACATAGAGTAATTGAGTATTAGTGCGCGGCACACAAAACCTCACGGGAAAGTTTTCATTTCATCACAACAGCGGTCAACAGACACAAACTCACGGGGGAACCACCTGGAAAAGTTGCCAGTAAGTGGCCTGAGCGCAAACTGTTAATGTAACGTTAAGGCTGTTTTACTGTAACCTTCTCAAGAACTGACATTAGTAGTTCTTAAGCCGTCTTCCTGTTGTCAGTATCTCTCAGATTGCCTTTTTTCTGTTGTTGTTGAGACTAATAAAATAAATATAACTCGCGGTTAATACTTTGTCCTATTTGATTTGCAATGAGCATATTTTCCCTCAGTAGTGCGCATGTTGGAGAATGTCTGTACATGTTGAGCCTTTTTTTCTGTTTATATCTTTTGTCATCACGGAACAAACAGTTTGGTGGAGACAATGGTGCTTTTACCTATCAGTACAAATAATAAAAAGGTTGTTCCATGTTATTTTGGATGAGCGAAATCAGATAGATAGAATGTATATATCTATATGTATATATGTATGTATATTATTAAGTATATAATAATCCAAAGATCAGTCGGTCTGACACATTGAATAATGGACAAAAAGACTGCTATTGCACTGCTAATCTCCATGTTGCTTTAGACCTGCCCATCAATGTTTTGGATATATTAAAAACACGACAGACATGAAAATGTCATCACTTCAGCATTACCATTTCGTAGTAGGTTTGAAGGAAACTGGACTCAATTCAGGATTGACAAAGCTCCTCTGATGAGAAGCAAAACGTCTTCAAGGAACTAAAGAAGTCTAGTTTCCTTCACTCAAACTGCTAGGATTACCATGAACTGGATGAATGAAACCCATCCATCCATTCGCTTCCGCTTATCCTTTTCAGGGTCGCAGGGGCGCTGGAGCCTATCCCAGCTGTCATAGGGCGAGAGGCAGGGTACACCCTGGACAGGTCGCCAGTCTGTCGCAGGGCCAACACACAGGGACAGACAACCATTCGCGCTCACATTCACTCGCACATTCACACCTAGTGGCAATTTAGATGATCCAATTAACCTATCCCCACAAGCTGCATGTTGTTGGACGGTGGGAGGAAGCCGGAGCTTCCTCAACAATCATATGACCCCCTGTGAGCAGCACTTTGGCAACAGTGGGAAGGAAAAACTCCCTTTTAACAGGAAGAAACCTCCGGCAGAACCAGGCTTAGGGAGGGGCGGGGCCATCTGCTGTGATTGGTTGGGGTGAGAGAAGGAAGACAGGATAAAGACATGCTGTGGAAGAGAGACAGAGGTTAATAACAGATATGATTCAGTGCAGAGAGGTCTGTTAACACATAGTGAGTGAGAAAGGTGACTGGAAAGGAAACACCCAATGCATCATGGGAATCCCCGGCAGCCTATGTCTATTGCAGCATAACTAAGGGAGGATTCAGGGTCACCTGGTCCAGCCCTAACTATATGCTTTAGCAAAAAGGAAAGTTTGAAGCCTAATCTTGAAAGTAGAGATAGTGTCTGTCTCCTGAATCCAAACTGGAAGCTGGTTCCACAGAAGAGGGGCCTGAAAACTGAAGGCTCTGCCTCCCATTCTACTTTTAAATACTCTAGGAACAACAAGTAGGCCTGCAGAGCGAGAGCGAAGTGCTCTAATAGGGTGATATGGTACTACAAGGTCATTAAGATAAGATGGGGCCTGATTATTTAAGACCTTGTATGTGAGGAGCAGGATTTTGAATTCTGGATTTAACAGGAAGCCAATGAAGGGAAGCCAAAACAGGAGAAATATGCTCTCTCTTTCTAGTAATAAGTCATAAGTCAGAGGACATTTGTCTTTGACGGCAGTGAGGCTTCTCCTCCTCACCTGTCCCTTTCCCACCTGGATAAGAAAGACGCGTCTGTTAGAATGCTGTTTATAGACTTTAGCTCAGCATTCAACACCATTATCCCCCAAAAACTGTTTGACAAACTCAGCAAGTTGGGACTGAGGACCTCTCTCTGCAACTGGATACTAGATTTCCTGTCAGAGAGGCCTCAGTCCGTCAGAAAGAGAGAAACGTCTCCAGCACCATCAGGCTGCTTGGTGAACATCATCAGCAGAAAACAATAAGTGCATCTTCAGGCCTGGTCGCTCATCCTTTCACTGACCTTTCTTTGCCAAAGATAAGAACAGTAGCTCAGAGTGGGTTAGTTAAATAAATATAGTTCTATTTGATCATTGTGTTTTTGATTTTCACTATTTGATCTTGCTTGAATACATTTTCCTGCAATTATGGCTAAATTGTGGACATTCACTTTTTGACATTTTGTGAAAAAGCGGAAATGTAACCGATGTGTTTCTGCGTTGTGTCTGATCCTGACAAAGAAAGGTAAAAGAAGGAAAGGCCTCCAAGTAAATAATTTGCCCACTCCAGCTCCTCTCCTAGCAAGAAAAAGAAGCTAGCAAGAATGATCTATTCATGCTAGTGCTCACGTTCCCTAGAACACATATGTAGCACACACGTCCTACACATTTATAGCTGGCAAAAACAGGCACAATGATGACAATAATTGAACTAAAATTGCAATCAGAAACATCAGGGTGGCTAAATATGAAGTATATGAGCGTTTTACAGTGTTGGAAAGAAATGACACACACACAAGAACACATTTTATGTAATTATAACAATATGTAATCTATGAATGGATTACAGAAATCCAAGTATTATTCTTAATTTATGCAAAATGCTCTAACAGGTTACCCTAGCCATAATAAAATAATCTTTCCTTGGAGCCTGGCCTGCTGCCCGGGCTATTGAAACATACCCAAAATAACAAGTGCAACAATTAATCAACAGAAGAGCTACTGTTAACAGGTGCAACTAATAGGATTTGACCGTCAAGCCTACTCACGTTTCTTCTTATCAGGGTTAGCAGGGAAGACAGCATTAGCTGGATAAGTTTGAGGTAGTTAGTACTAGGCAAATCCTCTCACCCACATCAGCTCCAGAACTGCATTATCTACTGTGTGAAACTCATAGGACTTTAGGACCTCTTTCTTTTATCACAGAACCAAAATAAACTTGCTGTATACGGGTTTGTGGGCCTACTGATCGACAATTTCTTTAACTGTTCATTAATGTAAATGTCTAATCAGCCAATCCCATGGCAGCAATCCAATGCATTAAGACATATAATACTGTTTCTTACGAGTCGACCTTGAATGCAACACTAAAGTTTCACTTTCGTTCCAAACAAAACTCGAAGCAGAGATCAATGGATAACTTCTTGACTACATTTTTAGAATTATAATCAAATACAGCACAATTTCAGTTTAAGAGGTTTGTGCTCACCTTTTCATGTGGGCCCACAGTAGTCAAGAAATCACCCGAGACGTCTGCCCGTCTGACCACTAATCCGGCTCGACCACCGCAGAAAGCAACACCTCTAGCGCTCTACAAGGTGCCCGCATCCTCCACCAAAGCTGTCGCGAAATCGATCAATGCAGAGCAGTGTCACAAACCACGGAGGCCCCAGAAAAGTGCAATCAAACGTTGAGTTTATTAACAGCCCGGAGAAAACATCAACATATGTCTTCTGACCAAAATACATGTTGTGGATACTTATAAAGCAGTGGGCTACACGCCCCCCCATGGCGTCAATGACAGATTAAAATAGGTTCCAGACATTAGTCACAGTTAATCGTACATCTCGTACATCTTTAATAGCTATAAACAGACATAGAACTTCTCTTTTCTACAACACCTTCCATACAAGGTAATAAACTTCAAGCCCTCTGGTCTCTGAGGCTAATTATTGACTCTGGTCATCTGTTGCCCAGTAGAGTAAAATATATTGAGACACCAAATGAGTTAAGGCCTCAGGCCTGACACATTCCTAGATTATATGTACTGTAAGCATGCATTGCAGTTATCCTTCTATGTTCTAGTTTCCCTCAGCATGGATCACCTGGACAGTCACACCAGTGAAGCTTAAGACCCTTAATGAACCGAACATCAACTCAAAATAAGCACAGATATGCAATGTGTATAAAATACTTCTAACCGTACTTGTAATAAAAGTTAACATAATGGAAGGATCCTCAAATGGACATCTTCAATAAACAACTGTAATGCAGTATCTGTAAGAAATATTATTAAATGGAATAATGCTGTAAAGAATGTTATTAATGCAGTTATAATGATGCAGATTATATGGCAGCAATAAAAGAATTTCTGTATCTCCACAGTATGGTCAAGACAACTTACTGAAGTTTAAACAAAGCATCAGAATATTGAAAAAGGTAATTAAGTGACTTCGAATGTGGCACAGGGGTTGGAACCAGTCAATACAGACCAGAATCCTTAAGGTTTCTAGGACTTTGTTAATTCTATGCCACAGAAAATGAAGGCAAAAGGGTGCCCAACCTAGTACTAACAAAATGTTACGAATGAAACAACTGCTGAGTATATATTTAAATTGCGTAAATATACTCCTATATAGACAGCTACATAGGTGCCTTTCTAGGTCCCAGAAAGGCAGATTTGTCTCAAAATATTAGATGACATATATATTAGATCATGGTTATTGACTATTGTTATGTGTATCACTTTAATGTTGCAGCTGTGGGGTGATTTTGTTTTTGGATGGCTCGATCTTTTGCAAAAGAAGAAGTATATAAATATTGGAAGCAACTTGCATCCAAATTATAGAAGTGCAGAAGCAACAAATAGCACAACACAAGCATAATTAAATAAACTGCGTTAAAACTGTACGTCAGCCAATGCACTACATTCCTACTGGTCTAATTCATGCTCTCATCCAATGGTGCGTAATTCAGTCGAGGCCAGCCTTTTGGGTAAGTGCCACCACATGCCTCACTTCTTGACACGCCCCAGTATGCTACTGTTTACTCAGTAAACGCCAACACTTGAGGAACGCCCATTTCAAAAAAAAAAAAAAAAAAAGAACCTGAAAAAAAGCAAATGACAGCCACATAAAGAGCAGGTAAAGGCAATTTTTTATACCTGCTTGACAATGTGAACAGAGAAGCTGAATAAACTGGTTAATGTTGCTGCATTGGTTGTGAAGATTAGGTGATTTTCCAAACGCATGCAGGGACAAAGTTTATGTTTTTCCGTTTCAACTTCTTTTCGAGCGTTTGTATTCAATTCAGTTCGGCTTCACATACTAGCAGTTTCACAGTCGATTTGCCCTTTTTAGCTGAGCTACTGTTGTTTGAAAATTCCATTTGAAGTAGTTTCACAACTAACAGTTAGGTCATATATGATGTCATCATTGTTACCGATGGATTCGTTTGTAAGCAGCATTTTGTTTCTGTAACTGTTTGTGACTTCCGGGAATAGGTTTCGGCAAGAGTTACAGGAAATCAACCGCACCCACTCTCTCGCTCTCACACACACGCACAAAGTGAGAGCGTCCTGCCTGTCAGGGCCGGTGTTAATGTAGTGCTTAAAATAGCCTCTTGTTTATGTCAAAGCACATTCACTTTGCTTCTTGTTTAGTTGAACTTTTCAGCTAATTTAGACAAAGGTAACTTTATATAAATGTCGAAAAATGTAGAAGTCTGGGCATTTCAGTAGTTTCCTTTCATCCTTTCATTCTTCTTCCACCCTACTGCAAGCGTGACCCATATTCCTTTGCTGCCCCTTGCATGATTTTTGCTGTTCAGCCAGATAGGCAAATCTCAGGAAATGCTTGCTAAACTCCTGTGATTTAATTTTTCACATTTAAAAAGACAAGCTGATTGAAGGCTTTTTTTTAGTGCAAGCTGATAGTATTTGTGTGTGTGTGTGTGTGTGTGTGTGATATTTGGACTCAGATATGTGTGATAATTTTAAATGTTTAGACTTCTCTGTATTATATTCATATGTGGTAATCACTGCTTTATGGAGAAAGTAAAATGTATTGTATTCTAAATGTTGACAGCTTTGCAAAGGATCATTTTATCTCTGTAAATTTATAGGTATGGAAGCTATTAAAGAGACTGAAGATTCTCCCAGTGGGACAGAGCTGGAGGACTCATCCTGCATATCCATGGGTAGCGACAGATCCATGAAGAATCGTACAAATTTTACAAAAGAAAAAATGGACAGGTGTATTTCATTCTTTAAATTGTGCTTGCATTTATTGCATAAGTTATATTTAATTGTATACTCTGTGATGTGTTGGTGCAGCATTGGTGCAACCAATCTGTTGCTGTGAAGAGAGAGCAGAACATAAATGCTAAGTTTTACTGGTTAATCTGTATTCTGGCCCTTAGATTTGGTCAAGAGTAGGGCTGCAACCAACGATTTTTTTTTAATTGACTAATCTTCAAATTTTTCCTCAGTTAGTCGTTTAGTCAACAATTATTTCAATACCTCTCATCTCCGCTTCTTGTGGTCAAACCGCATGTTCCAGGCTCCAGCACCTCACCTGCTCAATTCTGCCAACCTGTCAATATCACCCTCTTGTTTTGTCCTGCAGCAAATTAGAATAATTACCCAGGAAACATATGAATATGAAAATAATCAAATGTATTTTTAACATTACTCAATAGGACCATAAAAATAAAAATGAAATAAATACGATTATTAAATAATGTAAATTAATGTGCTAGTAGTATTTAAACAAAAAAAAAATGTGCGAAAAAACCTTGTTCATTAGGTTAAAAAAAAAAGCTTCAAATGAAAATAAAAAAGTTTTATTTGTCATTCCAAAATAAAAGTTTAGAGATAATTCAGTTTATGAATTCACAGTTGGAGTGGACATGCTCTGAGTGTGGCTTATCTTTGAGATGAGGTTCCCAGCTGCTGATAATTATGCTGAAGGTGCTCTCTGTCATGACTTCACCCATTTGAGAGGTCCATAAGCATCTTTTCAGGACAAACTCATCTATACACCTGTGCTTAATACAAGTAAAACAGAAAAGACCATTACTAATTACAAATGTGGTTGTTTCTCTGTTGGTGTAGTGTTCAATGCAGATTAAATAGTTTAACTCATATCTATATCTATATATCTATATACGCCAGGTGAGTGGAGTGAGCAAAAACTGTAACTATGAAGACTGTCGAGAAGTCCAGTGACCAGATAACACTGGCGCGGCAGCGTCTGGTAAACTGATAGCGTGGTTAGCTGGCAAAGAGAAGTTGAGAGCGCTGGCCTTACAAGTCAACAGCTTAATTACCCACAGGTGAGAGCAATGAGCAGGAACACGGTGGCTCCTCCCAGAGGTGGAACTGCTGGCTCTGTGGACAAACACTGGCATTCACCCAGACCATGACAGAATTTGTTTCCCCTGCATCAGAAGCGTGCACTGGGCTGTCCAAATGACAGACAAACAGTATCCCACATTTTTAGTTCACAAACACTTCTTACAATCACTTACTCCTGAAATTTTGGAAGTTTTATCCTTTTTATACAGTAAAGTTACAGGACAATACAAATGATTATCAGGCAAAATGCTTTGAAGTAATCTCGTCCAATAACACATGAGGACAACAAGTGTATTTTCTGTTAATGTCACTACACTGATCTTAAAAACCGTTTGGTTTTTGATCTTAAAACATCACTCCTTCCAAATACAGTTGATTGGAATGGAGGCAGCGTCAACTGGATCCACCCTCTCTGCCCAGCGCGTGCTCCCAGTGCAGGAGAAACAAATTCTTTAGGATTTAACTGCCTTGGCACAACACCAGCGTTTTAAATGCTCCTGCAGTAGTGCTGTCACGGAAGAAAGCTCCACTTTGAACAGTCTACATTCAACTTGGTTTTCTGTGAAATGCTTTCACATTTTTTGAAATCACCATTTGCATTCTCTTTTGTCCTTCTGTTTATGGTACGTTCTTCTTTGTTAGTACTGAGTGCAATCTTGGCACACGATATAGGCGATACTCCCCCCGTTGCTTCCTGTAGTGAATTGTGGTACCAAAAACACATTTACGTAGTATTAGTAGATGACGGATTGAAAATAAAATTCTTCGTTGACAAATTTTTATAGACGACATCATTGATTATGTTCGTTATCGTTGCAGCCCTAGTCACAAGCTCCACGTAGTGACTGAAACAATGAGGTTGTGAATACAAGCAGCAGAAATTAGTTTCCTTCCAAGGGTGGCTGGGCTCTTCCTTAGAGATGGTGTTTGTAGCCTGGCCTTTTGAAAGGGACTCAGAGTATAGCTGCTGCTTCTCCACATCGAAAGGAGCCAGTTGAGGTCATTCAGGCATTTGACAAATATGCCTCCTGGACACCTCCCAGGTGCTCTCAGCTGGTTTGGGAACAATTCAGTGTCTCCCAAGATGAGCTGGAGGAGGAGGCTGGGGTGAGGGAAGTCTGGAATCGATGATTTGAATCTGTGTCAGTCTTGTAACTGTAAAAGATATTCAATAGAACCTTAATGGAGATTTCCCCCCTATTCATGTCATGGTAATTATTTAGTTATAGATAATAACCAATGTATTTGTGCAGAATGTTGGTTCCATGTGAAATACACTAGTGGTACAGGAGATTCTTTAAGTTTTGCCACTAGGAAGTCAAACTTTCCACTTAATGATACCTCATAACTAAAAACTCTTAAGATGACAGAGCAGTTTATAGTTGGTGTCTATTTTCTGTGCTAATAATTGAAAATTCAGCATCACAATAACAATTACTTGGTTTTATTGAGCTGAAATTTTTTTTATAACTTTATCAATATTCATTTAAAGGGACGGGCATGATTTTCCAGAGACAAAGGAGCTGGATGGAGATGTCATATTTAAGGTCTGCTGAAAAAAAATCTATATTCCCTTAATAACAGCTTTTGAAAAAAAAGTATTTTTAAGATCACGCCTCTCATAGATATGCTGGGATATGCTTTTGTGTAAAAAAACAATAACAATAATAATCATAATCATAATAATCATATATATAACAAAAAAAGTGGATTAAAAAAAGTTTTTCTATTGCAGCTGGTGGAAACCCATGGCATGGAGATTTTTATGAGTGAAATTGGAAGGTATAAAAAGATGCTCTTTCCACACCTGTCACGCTATTCTACTGAAAGGGAAAAGCCAGATGAAGACAATCCGTCTACTGAAAATACAAAGCAAGACACGAGTGCCAGTGAAGGGGTTTTGAGGATTACATTACACGTCTTAAATGAAATTGGCCAAAAGGAGCTTGCTAACAAACTGGAGAAACGTAAGGACAAAATGTGCAAATAGTACAGAATTAGTTTTATAGTTTGTTTTTGTGATCTCTTATTGAAAAAATATATCTTTGATGTTTTTTAATAAGCTGTTTGCATTCTTTTTTTTTTCTCTTTACAACCAGATATTTATGGCGAGCTTGATGTCTGCCAGCGCAAACTCAGACAAAAACTGAAAAGGTTTGAATACATTTATGAGGGAATAGTACGGCATAGGGACCAGACTCTTCTCAACAAGGTGTACACTGAGCTCTACATCACAGAAGGACTCAGTGAAACTGTTAACAATGAACATGAGGTCAGGCAGATTGAGGCAGCATCGAGGAGATCAATGACAAAAGATAAGCAAATCAAATGCGAAGACATATTTAATTCTCTTTGTGGATCCCATAGATTCATCAGAACTGTGCTCACTACAGGCATTGCTGGTATTGGAAAAACTATCTCTGTGCAGAAGTTTAATCTTGAATGGGCAGAAGGAAGAGTTAACCAGGATATTCAGCTCCTTATTAATTTACCATTTCGGGAGCTGAATCTGATGAAGGAGAGAAGATGCACTCTAACAGAACTTCTTCACAATTTTCTCACAGAGGCAAAAGAGTCAGGAATTTCAGATTTTAGCAAATATAAGCTTGTGCTGATATTTGATGGGCTGGATGAGTGCCGGCTTCCTCTTGACTTCAACAACAATGAGCCTCGTTCTTGTGTCTCAGAGCAAGTTCCAGTAGATGTGCTTCTCACAAATCTGTTCAAGGGGAACCTGCTGCCCTCTGCGCACATCTGGATTACCACCAGACCCGCAGCTGCACGTCGCATTCCAGTTAACTGTGTTGATCGCGTGACAGAGATACGAGGATTTAATGATCCACAAAAGGAAGAATACTTCAGGAAAAAAATCTCTGATCAAAACATGGCCAGCAGAGTCATTTCACATGTTCAGTCAACCAGGAGCCTTCATATCATGTGCCATATTCCAGTCTTCAGCTGGATATCTGCCACTGTCCTGCAGAAGATTTTAGAAGAAAAAAGCCACGAGAGTAGAGGAGAAATGCCCAACACACTGACAAAAATGTACACACATTTTCTTGTGCACAACTCACTGATCAAATGTCAGAAGTATTCACTCAGTGGAGAGGTTTGCGAAACCCAATCACAGGTCAAAATGAATGAAGAGAATATCTTGAAGCTTGGAAAACTAGCCTTTGAGCAGCTACTGAAGGGAAACATAATCTTCTATGAGAATGAAATCAGCGAGTACGAAATAAATGTCAGCGACACTGCAGTATATTCAGGAGTATTCACAGAGATCTCAAAGAATGATTTTGGAATTCATCTAAAGAGATCATATTGCTTTGTGCACCTCAGCATTCAGGAGTATTTTGCTGCAGTGTATGTTTTCCACACCTTCATTTGCTCTAACCTAAACTTGTTGGAACCAGAAGGATCCCTCACTGTCCGAGAGGCTTCTACTGAAGTAACTGGCCTTCTCCAAAGTGCAGTGGATAAGGCCTTGCAAAGTGAGAATGGTCAGCTTGATCTTTTTCTTCGCTTCCTTCTTGGCCTCTCACAGGAATCAGATCAGTTGAAGAGTATTCTTGCCACCATGAGGAGTACTTTACCAAGTAATGAGGAAGTTATTGAGTACATCAAGGAGAAAATCAGTCAAACTCTTTCCCCAGAAAGATGCATCAATCTCTTCCACTGCCTCAGTGAGCTTAATGACCAGTCTCTTGTAGAGGAGATCCAGAAGTGTCTGAGTTCTGGTAGTTTGTCAGAGATCACACTTTCACCTTCACTTTGGTCTGCTCTGGTTTTTGTGTTGCTGACATCCAAGGATGAGTTGAATGAGTTTGATCTGAGAAAATATTCCAGATCTGAGGAGGGTCTCCAGCGGCTGTTACCGGTGATTAAGGAATCCAAAATAGCTTTGTGAGTAAATTACAACAATACTCTGTAATGTTCATATGACATACAATATTATTTTTAAATGTGACAATTATTATGATGCTAAAAACACAGCTGAAACAAACACACCAGATCAAATTCACTCTCTTCTTCATAGCTAAATAATTAAAAAAATAACACTGTATGTTACTTACTGTAAATTAAGCTTAATATGCTTTACTCAGATTGACAATATGTGGAATCACAGACATTGGCCCTGACTTAATATTTATTTAACAATTTTTTAATACAGTGCTTTAACTTGGCATCATCTACTATTTTATATTGTACAGCAGCCTCTTAATATACTAGCATGTGGTTATTTTTTCTGTTTTTTAAGGCTTAAAGAATGCAACCTTACTGAGAAAGGCTGTGAGATGCTTTCCAAAGTTCTATTTAGTTCGTGTCTAAAAGAGCTGGACTTGAGTGATAATGACCTGCAAGACAAAGGAGTGAAACTTCTCCTTGATGGACTGGGAAATACTGCATGCCAGCTGGAAAAACTTAGGTTTGTGAAAATATCCTGGTGCAGGATATTTATGCCACACAAATAGCTAAAAGAAACTAACTCTATATGCTTTAAATTTCAGTTTGGCATTCTGTGGAATCACTGACTCGGGCTGTGACTCTTTGGCTAAAGCTCTGACCTCCAGCCTCAAACACTTGAAGGAGCTGGACTTGAGTTACAATCATCCTGGGGAGTTGGGAATGAAGCACCTCTCCTCCATAGAGAACGACCCTGATCACCTCACTATCAGGTATAGTTGAGTTAAATTACACTTACAGTTAAATAAAAGTTTTTTTTTCATGTACTCGAGATTAGCAGAAAATAACATCTTTGATTTTACCTAGGATAAGTGACAGTGGGGAGTGTTACTTAAAATCAGCTCTGAAGAAATGTGAGACTTTTTGTTATTATTTTTAAACAAACATACCAGTGACATTTCAAGTTTTAATACTGGATGGGGGCACAAAAAACAAAACTGAAATCTTTTTTTTCAGATGCACAAGAGCTGACTGTGAACATGAATACAGCACATTCAGAACTATCTTTTTCTGAAGACAAGAAGAAAATGAAACGATTGGAAGAAAGTCAGAAATACCCTGACAACCCAGAGAGATTTGAAGACTGGGGACAAGTGCTTTGTAATGAGGGTCTCCGTGATCGGTGCTACTGGGAAATAGAGTGGTCTGGGGAATGGATGGGTATAGGAGTTGCATATAAAGGAATCAGCAGGAAAGGTAAAGGGAATGAACCAGTCCTTGGCTACAATGATCAGTCCTGGAGTCTACGCTACTGCAAAGGCAAATACACCGTCTGGCACAATAAGAATGATGATGCACCCATATCTGTTCCCTATTTCAACTCCAAGAGGGTTGGAGTGTTCTTAGACTGGACAGCTGGCACGCTGACCTTCTATGCAGTGTCTTCACAGACCATGATTCACCTGCACACTTTCCACACTGAATTCACTGAGCCATTGTATCCAGGCTTCAGACTGGGAGAGCCACGTGCTACATTAATTTTACGCCAGCCAGAATATCTTTAAATGGTGATAGCCCCTGCAGACAACAGTTTGTAGAGTACAGTTTTACAGTATTGACAATTATGTGAACGCTGTAAAACAAATGAAGGGATTTCAGAAGACCTTGTATGTGATTTTCATGCTGTGGCTGTTCAATGTATATACTGTACATCTCAAACATTTAAGTGATTTCAACAAGTTTTTTTTGTCGTTTTTTTAATCAAGTTCTAGTTTTGTAGCAAGTGGATATCAAAGCTGTGAAAAGCTGTCTGTCTTTAACCCTGAATTGAATCAGCAGAAGAGGACGGAAGAATGTATTTTTTCCTATAACTAACAATTTCAAGGAAATTGGTAATAAATTACATATTTTAAATCTTAATATCTATTTTCTGTAATGAGTTTTTTTTATGTTAAAGTGTTTGTATTATGTTTTTTATGCTTTTGTGATGAGGGATGGGATATGGATCAATAGGTGACAGTATTGAGAAAATATACTAGAAGCTTGTGAAATCAAGCTGTAATAAATAATCATCAGAACGATCCCATTGCAAACCAAAAGTGTGGGCATTGGATTTATTTTCACATTTTAAAAATACAGATAAGCGTACTAGGTTCACATGCACCATCTGCCTGGGCTCTTTCTTTGTGGAGTTTGCATGCTATCAGAATGTTTCCATGTCCAGTCCAAAGACATGCAGTTAGTGGGCTTGGCTTAATTGGTTATCTGAATGGGCGTGATTGCAAGTGGATATCAGCGTGGGAAAAAAAAACCCACACAGCAACTCACTCATATTACCAATGATTAATTGGAAAAATATATTTTGTCCTCAGTCATAAAATGTTTTGTGGTACTGGTTCTTCCCATGGGTCAAATGTAATGTTAACTTCAGTTACGTTATATTGATCAGCCACAACAGTAAAACCACTGACAGATTTTAAATTAAATGTGTCCCTTGCACTCAAAGAACTGTTCAGGAACAATTAAAAGATTACAGCAAAGAACCAAAGGCCCTGACTCAACCTCCTTCCTATTCCAATCTGAGTATCAGTGGGATGACAGTGAACATGCCTGATCCATGGAAGTCCCACTCAGCAACCCACAGGACCAAAGGAACCAGTACCCCAGTGCCTAATGCTACACAGTGATCGGCAGGTGATTTTCATGCTGTGGCTGTTCAATGTATGTACTGTACATCTCAAACATTTAAACTACAGTTACGGTGCTTATGGGGAACAAACATATATTTATACATAAGAATTAAGAAACAGCATATCGTATTTTTTTTCCTTTTTTATATCACGAGGATAGAAAAAATGTCCAGCGCAAAGTTTATGGATATGTGGAGGTTAAAAGCAAACAAAAAGTATGATTGGCTAAAACTGGTTGATGCATATCAAACAGTTGAAATGAAAAAAAAAACTTTTTTAAATTTTTGTGCAAAGCTAGGTGAACCTTGTGCTATATTGACATAATGATAAAATAATATTAAAATATGGAAACACAAACTCTAGTCTATTTTTTTAATCGAATTATACTAAAATCTGAAAAAAAGAAGGAAAATAAAAAATATATCTCTATTTTCTGTTGCCTACATTGCAGAGGGTGACTTTGCTTCTAAACAGGAAAATGAGTGGGAAAGGTTAAAGTGTGTGTAACCCAAAGGACCAGACAGGACGCAGAAACTCGTGTTGGGCTTTTGTTTATTTGTTCGTAATGTCATTGTTTGCTTTAGCACTTTTCGGTGCTCACTGCTCCAGAAACTGTCTTCCTCTCCAGCCTGGCCGCCACTGAAACGGAAGGGATGATTATATGATGCTTGCTATGCTCCGAAAACAAGCCTTCCCAGTCGCCACAGCCTGAACACTCTGTTTGACTCCTCCCTTGCAACCGAGCCACCAACCACACACCGCCACACACCCCCAGCAGGAAATCAGCCACAGCCATCTGAACCCCCATCCTATGGACCCTGGAGGGCCAGAAACCACTATATGATCCGGCCATTAGAGAGCACATACCGAAAGGACTGAAATGAATTTAATTTGACTTTAAAACCATGCTGAGTGTTCGTCATGTGAGCCATGATGACATGAGGTGGTGACTGTGTTTGATATGAAGCTGAATCCAGTGTATGTAGTGAACTTTGTGCTGATGAGTAGTTTAGTGATCAGAGTCCATGTAGTTTCCAGGATCAGACTGAATGCAGTGCAGTGCTGGAAGCTGCTGCTGACTGTGTGAATGTGTGTCTGTGCTGCTTGTTGCTGCTGTCAAACTTCAGATGAGCAGGTAGTGAAGCCCGTGGTGAG